CTAATCCAATCAATTTCAATTTGTAATCCATTATAATCGATTAATTGATATTTTTTATTGTTCTCATTAATTTGATCTGTTAATTTAGTAAAAAAATCTAAACATTGCAAAATTTAAACATTTAGTAAAAAAAAAAACTCTAAACAATTACAATGTTCCACACCTATACTTTTGAACATTTAGTAAAAAAATCTGAATAATACTTGTGGCCTACTTATTCTGGATGGAGCATATTGACTTACCATTGTCAGCTGTATAATTTTGACCCAGTCCTCCTAATCTAAACCCATCGGACCAGCCCAGTGTTTATGTGGGCCCATGTCCACTTTCTTCATGAGAATTCTGAAAAGGCTAGCCCAACTAAGAAGATATACTGATTTGGCCACTTTCCCTTTGTTGAATTGTTGTTATGACTTATGAAGATGAAATATATCTACTCCGGTGACCAATTTCCGAAAACAAAATTTATAGTCACTCTATTTCCTAAACAACAAAATTCAGTAATCTAACCTTTGTAAATTTTACTTGTATGTCACTAAGGATAAGAAATTTGAACACCCAACTTCTGTATAAGAAAGATGGTCATCTAACCAACTAATTTATTTATCAAGGATAAGAAATTTGAACACCCAACTTCTGTATAAGAAAGATGGTCATCTAACCAACTAATTTATTTATCAATTTATCAATCAATGTTACAAACATGAAAATAAGTGTATATAATTCACAAATTCTAAAATTAAAGTGAGTGAAGGATAACTCATGTGGTTAGAGCATTCCACCTGATTTCAGGGTATCCTGAAATTGATTATTATCGCCCGTCCTTGTGACTCTTTAAACACCTAAAAACATAGTGTCTAAAATAATAAGGTTTAATTAAAATAACAACCCAATTAAACGCTCAAGCCACATTATCGTAAGTTAATTTAGAGTTCTTTGTTTACATCTAATATATATATATATAAAGGGGAGTTTTTTCCCAAGTTTTTAGAGAGCCACATAGGATTTAATTTTTTCAGGGCGCCATGTAGGATAATAAATTTTAGTGATAGCCAGTTAAATGCGAGATTATTAATTTCTTTTAGATTTAAATATTTTAAATGACACGTAAGCAAAATTGACAAATGAGATTTTCCGGTTTAAATTAATTAAATATTATCATTTGGTATCAGAAATTTTATCTAAATATATAACAAATTTTAGCACATAAATATAATGTTAAAAAAATTATTTAAAAATTTCAAATAAATCGTGCATCGCACAGGCTTAATTGTAGCCAATCAAATAAAAGATTATTATTTTCTTTTAGAATTATATAATTCAAATGCCACGAAATTGGCGATTGAGATTTTTAAGTTTAAACTAATTAAATATAAAATATTATTTTTTGATATTAGAAATTTTATCTAAATATGTAACAAATTTTATTTGTAAAAAAATGTTTTAAAAAATTGAAACAAACCGTGCATCGCACGGACCTCATCTAGTTCTTTAATATTTTTATCATTCTACGAAATGCAAGGACACAATAAGGTTATAATTGGGCCAGGCCTAATTATTCAGCCTATCAAGTCGGGCCACGTCAAAATTCTGGTCCAAAATGCTTGCCCAAACATTCAATTTTTAATTGGGCCTATTGGGCTTTTGGACCGGATAAAAAATAACTAAAATTTGTAAAATGCATGTCCAAGGGCCGCCCAAAAAAGCTTTCTGACCGGATTTGAGCTGAAAGTTCATACAAATTCTTAGGTGCACCCTTCTAGATGGACCACCTCCTAAAACAAACCCCTATACAAATAATTAAATCAAATGCAACTCTACTCCTTCTTCCTCTATCTTTACTTCTTCTTCTTCCTTTTTTTTTTCTTATTTAATTTTTTGTTTCATTCTATACAGAATCTTTTTTTTTTTTTAATCTAATCTCTTTTATTTATTTCTTGATTTCAATTCTTTTTTTTTTTTCAAATTCTTATTTTCTCTCTGCTCTGTTCTTTGATTTTTTTTTTCCCATTAATATTTTCCATTGATTTTTTACAATTAAAGTGATGGTAATTGTCGATATTTCTGAAAAGATCAATCCAGGTTAGTTATATATTATGAATTCATTGTGATCAATAATAATTTTTTTTTTATTTTTTTTATTTTGAGATGAATTTGTGGATGAAATTATTGTTTTAATAATATCAATTGAATTCATTGAAACTAATCTGATCGATTTCAATCGTAATCCATTATGATCGATTAATTGATATTTTTTTATTGTTCTCATTAATTTGATCGATTTATTTAGTAAAAAAAATCGAACATCGCAAATTTTAAATATTTAGTAGAAAAATCTGAACAATTGCAAATTTTGAACATTTAGTAAAAAAAATCCGAACTGAACAACGAAAATTTTAAACATTTAGTAAAAATATATGAACAATTGCAATATACCACACCTATACTTTTGAACATTTAGTAAAAAAAATCCGAGCGATTGCAAATTTTGAACATTTAGTAAAAAATCTGAACTGAACATAATTTTTTTTGAACATTTAGTAAAAATATCTGAACAATCGCAATGTACCACACCTATACTTTGGAACATTTAGTAAAAAAAATTGAACGATTGCAAACTTTGAACATTTAGTAAAAAAAATCCGAACTGAACATCGAAAAATTTGAACATTTAGTAAAAATATCTCAATAATCGCAATGTACCAGGCCTTATACTTTTGAACATTTAGTAAAAAAATCTGAACGATTGCAAATTTTTAACATTATACAAAAAAAATCCGAACTGAACATTAAAATTTTTGAACATTTAATAAAAATATCTCAACAATCGCAATGTACCACGCCTATACTTTTGAACATTTAATAAAAAAAATTGATCGATTGCAAATTTTGAACATTTAGTAAAAAATACGAACATCGCAAATTTTGAACATTTAGTAAAAATATATGAACAATTGTAATATACCACGCCTTACTTTTGAACGTTTATTAAAAAAAAATTGAACAATGGCAAAATTTGAACGTTTGGTAAAAAAGCCGAAAATAGCAAATTTTGGAAATTTAGATACATCATCCAATTTTTTCTTCTGTTCAAATAATTTAGGGTTTTAATTCATCATCTAATTTCAAAATTCAACAATTATATAGGGTTTATTTTACTTACAGTTCATCTTCATCATTACTTGTTGAAGAATTTCTCGAGTGTAAGAAAATGTAAATATTGTTCAAAAATTCGAGAGTGTTTACAAAAATTTAAATAATTTTACCAAATTACAACAACTTTGAAGGAAATCAATCAACGAATTTGAAGAAAGCTAAAGAAATTTTAAGTTGTTTAAATATTTAATTACCTTTCTTGACCTTTTCTTGTTTTTTCTTCCATGGTGATTCATTAATGTAGAGGAGAGAGATAAGTAGTTGAGTGTTTGAAAAATGAAATGAAAGTAATAAATGAAATATATTGCATAGGAGATAGATATGTATGTATAGCGAAATTACAAAAAGAAAGAAACTAAAGAAATTGAGAGTATTTGGGCCGCGTGAGTTGAAGTTTGTAGTGTATATGGGCTGGTGGTGGTCCATCTATTCTAGATGGACCAGGGTCTACAATAGACTTATTTCATGCCTATGGCCCGCCTAAAATTAGGTCGGGCCAACAGGCCTATGTTGATCAGGTGTAATTAATTGAAAGTAAAATAAAGTATATGTCATTTACTTAAAATATTTTTTCTCAAAAAAAATAAATTTCTTTGAATATTTAACTTTTCTAAACTTCTCATCACTAACCTAGTCGTAATTTGCTTAAACTACTTTTCATCAACATGCACTATGTTGTACATATCACCAAATCTTGGAATATTGTTGAATGTAGCTATATTAAAGATTTAAAGGAGGCACCAATGAACCTTTAGCAAAAGGTGTGACTGTGTGAGGAAGTAAAAAAGGAGATAATAATGTATCTATTGTTAATTAAATATGTGTAATAGGTAACAATTTATTTTAATGTGAATTGAACACGTCTTAGTACGATGTACTTCATTATGCTCATATTTAATAGAAATTGTGATATACACTTTAGTGCATAGTGCAACAAAAGGAATATAAAAATGTACTCATATGTGATTTTACTTAGGCCGTGTTTAGGAAAAAGTTGAAAGCTGAAAACTAAACCTGATTGTGTAACCTGATTTTAACTAGCTGATTGTGTTAACTGATTTGACTAACTTATATTATTAGCTTATCGTAGAAAACATGTTTGATAAATAGCTTATTGTTTAAAGCTGATTGATTATGTGAAATGACCCATGAACTAATTGTGAGGTAGGTAGTTCATATAGGATTTTTAATTAAATGGGGATATAAGTGTTATTTCACCATAAGAATTGAATAAGCTAATTGAAAATCTCATATTTGAAAAGAGCTTATTCTGTGGAATAAGCTACTTACCAAACACCTTAAATTAGCTTATTTAATAATCAATAAGCTAATGTTGGTCAAATAAGCTAGTTACCATACACAGCCTTAATAAAAATGATGCTCTTTATTATCAAATACCAATTTCTCTGTATAGTAAAAATTCACATATTACTAACATGATATATGCATTATCAAAATCTTGTACTCATTCAATCAAAGTAATTTTTTACCGATAATACGGTGAATGAATCTTATTCTCCCTCAACCAAATAGTATTTGATCTAATTGTACTCATATACAGAGAGTGTAAATTGTGACTTACAAAATTATCAAAACAAAATATTAAAAATTGAGATTGATAACGAACTACCCTAATATGTTGTATATAAAAATAAATCAAGAACGTAATAATCACAAACCATTCTGTTAATATTCTATACTCTGACAAGATAAGAGGATAAATAAATAAATAATAATGAAATTCTTTACATAATTTTTAATTACTATGTATAAGTGTATAACACTTAGATTTATCCTAATTAGTGACAAATATAGAGAAGACGTGATGAGTGACGAAAACCCAATTGTCTTTTTCACAAACTCCATACGTTGGCAATGTCTTTGTTCAACTTTACAGCAACCCACCAAAATTGGCACTAATTTTACAGTATTATTACTAGTTTAGTTATAGGCCTCCCAAAGTCCCAAAGCCCAATATCAAATCTGCTACTTCTATTTATAATCTCATATTCAACACTAACATCTAACCACTTGTTTCTTGTTCATTGATTTTTCAACATTGACAACATTTTGTAATTTTCTTAAGATTTTTTTAGGATAAATTTGAGTTGGGTTTACAAGAAAAGGCATGAATTTTGGAGGGCATGGTGGTGGTGGTGGTGGTGGGTATGGTGGTGGTGGACATGGTTTAGGCGGTGGTGGCGGCGGTAATAGAGTTCCTCTTTTGGGTCGGCATGTGAGTTCATTCCTACTTTCTTCATTTGTTTTAGATTACTGTTTTTAGTGATTGATTATTAGTAATTTTTTGTGGGTTTTTGATATTATTACTTAATTTGGGGTTATTGATTGATTATATGATGATTGGTGTTTGTGGGTATTGTATAATTTGATCATGGGAAGTGTTGATGAATCTTTTTGGTCAGTTTTATTGAGATAATTAATTGAATTAACGGTTGGAAATTGTGGGTTTTAAAGGTTATGATTATTTGAAGTGGAAAAGTAACCTTTCTTTCATATTTTTGGAAAGAATGTGGGTCATTTAGGTGGTGCAAACATTGGATATTGTTTCTTAGAAAATGTTATTGGTTATATGAATAATTTGATGAAAATTGCATCTATTTGTATCACATGAATATGTGCATATATCAGTAGCTATAAGTCTTATGAATATTTGTAAATTTTGGAACAATGCCATGGTTATTTTGCTGTATAACTACTGTTGTTTCTGTGTATGTTTCTTAAATGGCATTTTACATTCTTACTCTTGTGTTGGAATAGCACTATTCTAGGAGTGTTCGAATTTTCGAAATTCGAAGCTTAGTGTTGCAATTTACTGTAAACTTTGATAGTGTTGTAGATTTAGGCTTATAGCTGCTAGAATTGTTGGATGTATTTGGAATTTTAACTGCCCCAATGTGGATAGCAGCCTCCTGCCTTCTGTGTATAAGCATTTGGTTTGGAAACAAGGTTTAACAATCATTTGATCTTCAGCTGTTATATAGGGTAAAAAGTGTTTATGATTGATATTACTTTTTAGGCCCTGAATAGACCCTGTGTATGGAGAACATTATTTTACTAATCATCATACTTCTTAAAGGCCGGCTTCAAAAGAGAGGAAATTGGCTCAACAGACCTTGAGAATGGTAATGCACCGGTAAGGCCAACCGCATATCATCTAAATCCTGATTTTATTTTATTTTTTATTTTTATTATTTTTATTTTTTTTAATGTGATGATAATTAATGTAACATAGTTTTTGATACGTTCTTGTTGGATTGTTTAGGCTGCAAATGTGGGATTCGGTAGGGTTCTTTCTCTTGTAAGTGCACTGTTCTTCAGTTTCTTCATAGTGTGTTATTCAAATATTTCATTTTGTTCACGTGATTTATATTTATATCTCATTTTGCAGGCAAAACCTGATGCACCTAAACTTGTTATAGCTACAGTTGCTCTGTTGATTGCAGCCACATCAAACATATTAGTGGTATGTCTATGTCTGTACTAAATGAGTTGAAGTTTTAAAACGATTATATTTGTTTACATACTTTGAGCATCTGCCTGTCTTGCTGCAGCCAAAGTTTGGTGGAAAAGTAATTGATATTGTGTCCGGAGATATCAGCTCACCAGAAAAGAAAGCTGAAGCTCGGGATGCAGTTACGAGCACCATACTAGAGATTGTCATGGTTGTTATTGTAGGGTAAGTCCACTTCAGACATGATAGCTTAGCTATATAAATACTTTGCAGATTACTATTCTTTCTAAACTCTCTCCTTGCCCAAGTATTCCCTCCAAACCTTTATATTTCTTACATTTGGTATCATGCACAGATATTGAGGAAAGCACAATTGTGATATAATTCATTTAGCTTTTTTAAACTAAAAATAAAAATTAAAAAAATAGCAATTCCCCCCCCCCCCTTTTTTTTTACATACAATTTATATACATAAAAACTAAAATTAAGCACTGATGTCTTTTGGAATGCTGTGTTAATCACATCACCAATGAATTAAATAGTGAAATGGGCACAAATTTTTTGAAATAAGTAGGAACTTTGTTACAAATAAAAGGGATCACCCAAAACAGAATACATAGTAAAATCTAATCCTTCGTATGTCCTTTAAATTCTTCATTCTAGGTGTTCTGGTACTTTTGTTCCATCATATTCATGTACTTGTTTCTCTTTTCTATCCCAGTTCAATTTGCACAGCATTGAGGGCGTGGCTATTTAATTCTGCAAGTGAAAGGGTTGTTGCAAGACTGAGAAAGAATTTATTCTCCCATCTAATTTGCCAGGTGGAGAAACCATCCCTTTGAATTTGCTATGTACAAATACAAACTTAAAAGTCCATTGTTCAACTTCAATTTTGCAGTGAATTGATCCCTGATGCCTTTTTTCTTCTTTCTCCCCCCTACTTTCAGGAAATTGCTTTTTTTGACGTTACTCGAACTGGAGAGCTTTTGAGTAGACTAGCTGAAGACACACAAATCATAAAGAATGCTGCTACTACTAATCTGTCTGAAGCTCTGAGAAATTTAGCAACTGCATTCATTGGTCTTGGATTCATGTTTGCAACATCATGGAAGTTGACATGTAAGAATAAGAGTTCTGGTAGCTGCTCCCTGCATTCCTGTTATTTGTTCTTCATTGACTAAACACCCAGATTAAGAACACACTGCAAGACAATCAATGTTGTGTTGAGATTTTGATGACAAAAGAACCTTGTCTACTTAGTTTAAATCTATGTTTATTACATGTGTTTGAAAATAATAAAGAAAGCATATTGTGCATAATGGAAGACAAATTCTACATTATTAAATATTCAGAATATCATATGGGACTTTTGAAAAACTAAAAGGGAACATTTATATTGAACAAAGGTTGCCATCCACTTTTTACATTGCTGTCTGATAAGATTTGATCTTATTCATATTCAGTGTTGGCATTGGCTGTTGTGCCTCCCATTTCTGTTGGTGTGCGTAAATTTGGTCGCTTTCTCCGTGAACTCTCACACAAGACTCAGGCTGCTGCTGCTGCAGCATCTTCAATTGCAGAGGTATGTTGCAGCCATTTATATCAACACTAATTAAAGCATTTGGTTCACCTCCCCCTAATTTTTACAAATTTTAAAAATTCGTTGGCCCAAAGAAAAGGCCAAGGGATTCATGGCTATCCAGTCTGCTGAACATACATCTTAGTGAGATGTTCGATGCAGTTTAGTTTTGTGTCACATTTACATTTTCCTTTCTTGATGCAAATAGGATATTGTCATATCAACACTAGAATACTGGTTTCTCAATGAAAGCCTCTATGAGGTTGGAAGTGATTGAAAATAGTTTCACATTGTACAGTTTTTTTACAGGAATCGTTTGGTGCCATCCGCACAGTAAGGTCCTTTGCCCAAGAAGATTATGAAATTCAGCGGTATTCTGAGAAAGTTGACGAGACTTTAAACTTGGGACTTACACAAGCTGTGAGATTCTCCTCTGTGTTACAATCTCTTTTTGTTAATCGCAAGCTTGTGAGTTGTGACGTCTGATTCTGGTTGCTACAGAAAGTTGCAGGTTTATTCTTTGGAGGACTAAATGCAGCATCCACCCTGTCAGTTATTGTTGTGGTGATATATGGAGCTTTCCTGGCTATCAATGGTACTGGCATGACACCTGGTGCTCTCACATCCTTCATACTTTATAGCCTTACAGGTAACTGATTAGTTGTTTGGTGCCAAACATGTAGCTATAGACAAGAACAATTAACCATTAAGATTATCACGTATCAACAAATTCTAGTTTATTATTGAATGACTATACTTGAGAATATTTGTTCTTGTCTTCTTTGTGCGTACTTTTTCTTAAAAATATAGTTTTACCATTGTGATTATTTTAATGCAGTTGGGTCATCCATATCTGGACTTTCTGGATTATACACTGTGGCAATGAAAGCTGCGGGAGCCAGTAGGCGTGTTTTCCAACTGCTAGACCGAACATCATCCATGCCAGAGCCAGGATCCAAGTGTCCATTAGGGTGAGTTAATCAACTTCTCCGATTTATTTATTTTGTTTGCTCCTGATTATCTTACTGTCAATTTTTGTTCACATGCTTCACGGAGAGGTTGGGGGGTGGGGGGTTGTCAATCTTTATCCACTGAGGAAATTCTCTTAGAATTATTTCTGTTGATATTAGCAAATAAGTGTGACAGTCCTCAATTATCTTCATATCTTTTGCAAAGGATGTGGAAGCAATAACAGAAACTTAGGAAGAAAAGGATGATTTTATGACTTAAAAAGTAGCTCTAAGAGTTGATCTTCCATTGGGATTCTGATTAATAGTCCTTTTCTGAAGAATTTCATGCTAAGTCTCATGATCTTCCTTTTTTGTTGTTGCTGCTGTTTATTAGTGATCAAGATGCAGAAGTGGAATTGGATGATGTCTGGTTTGCATATCCTTCACGCCCAAGTCATATGGTACTAAAGGTAATGATAAAACCCCTGCTTTTTTCAATGTGGTTCTACTGACTGAATGCAATACTGAGAATCGTCCTTTTAATTTTCAGGGAATAACGTTAAAACTGCTGCCTAGTTCAAAAGTTGCACTTGTTGGTCCAAGTGGTGGTGGAAAAGTAAGTTCTATTCATCATAAGCTCCCATGATATCTGTGACTATACTGAAGAAATACCTGTGTATCCTTGTAATATGAGCCTATCATTAACTTCTGCACCTTTTTTTTTTTTTTTTTTTTTAATTTAATTTTTTTATCTTTTACTATTGATGCAGACTACGATAGCACATTTGATTGAAAGATTTTATGATCCTACCAAAGGGAAGATTTTGCTGAGTGGGGTTCCGCTAGTAGAAATATCTCACAAGCACTTGCATAGCAAGGTAAAGCTGTAAGCTTCGTTTATAAGAATTCATATGTAACAGGAAATTACTCATCAGTATAGGAATAATGATAAAAGGTATCTCAAATGTTTTACTGAAAGAGAAAACTTGTTAGCTTCATGTAGCCTAGTGATATCTGTACATGTGTGTTTGGTGTCTACTTGTTGGTGAGCTACTTTCCCCGATCTTATAACTCTTTTGTAACTCTAAGTTTCTAACTGGAGAAATTTAACCTGAGCCGAGTTAGTTATTATTATCCTGAGTTCCTGACACTTTATTCTGCTATTTATGAAGTTTGACTATGCTTCTATTTCCCCCATCCTTAATAAAGATTATATCTTCTAGTTTGGGTATATCCCATGAAGAAGGTTATGTTCCCTTATTTAGTAGGTTATTCATTACTTTTTCACTGTCCTAAACTTTGTGCAAAAATGATGTAATAAATTAGACAGAGGAGAATTAGCTAAAAAATTGCCTCCTAATTTTCTGCAAATTCTGATTAGATTTTGATCATTGGCATCAGATTAGTATTGTAAGCCAGGAGCCAACTCTCTTCAATTGCTCCATAGAAGAGAACATCGCTTATGGACTAAATGGCAAGGCCAGCACTGCTGATATAGAAAATGCTGCTGTAAGATGCTACATATTTAAATATTCCAACTAATTCTTTGTATGAAGTATCATTTTTTGATCCCTTTTGTTCTCAATATCACAGAAAATGGCAAATGCACATGAATTTATATCCAAGTTTCCTGAGAAGTATCAAACTCATGTCGGAGAACGTGGGGTTAGATTATCAGGTGGTCAGAAACAGCGGATAGCAATTGCCAGAGCTCTGTTGATGAACCCAAAAGTACTACTTTTGGATGAAGCAACGAGTGCCCTTGATGCTGAAAGCGAATACTTAGTGCAGGTTCAGTTTTTTTTTTTACAGTATTTTTTTTTTTTTTTTGAAACATTGTGCAGGTTCAGTATATTATATTCAACATCTCTCATTGTTTCTGGTTGCATCTTTGTATAAACCTTCAATTTATTGGTGCTAATTAGGATGCCATGGATCGCTTGATGAATGGAAGAACTGTCCTCGTGATAGCACACAGGCTTTCCACTGTGAAAAGTGCAAATGTTGTAGCTGTTATATCCGATGGTCAGGTGGTGGAAAGCGGCACTCATGATGAACTTTTGAGCAAGGATGGCATCTACACTGCACTAGTGAGGCGTCAGTTGCAAGGACCCAAAGCCGATAGCTAACATTGGAGATATTACTTTACTTACAATTCAGAATACAATTTCAGAATTTCTATTTGTATTATAGGTCTTCTCTGCCATGTAACTGAACAAGTGAAGCTTAATTTTTTGGCTTCCGCGTCTCTGTATGTCTTTATTGGGTCTATTAAAGGAATGTAAGGTCACCTACTCACCTTAGTCTTTAATCAAGTATTTTATCTGCATAATCTGTAAACTACTTCTGTTTTGCTTCACTAATATTATCTTAATTTTGATGGGGGCAATCCCAATGTCTACAAGTGTCTAATAGATTAATACTGGCTTCAAAAAGAGTTTAGTAACAGTCCAAGCCTCCAAGGAAAGGAGTTAGACGTGCCATTGTTGTAAACTAAAATCAATCAAAGTCTTAATCTCATAAATGGGGGTTGGCTACATGAACCAGAAGTGACTATTCTGTGTCGTTGACTTTTTTTTTTTTTAATTACTCATATGTCACTTCATATATGATATGCTTAGTTATTATTCATTAGTTGGAAATATTCTATCTTTCTTCTTATGTATTCGATTAAGCCGTTGAATAGTACATAATGACAAATTGAAATCAGGTTCATCTTACTACCTCCTTGTCAGTTAATACTTGATATTTCGCTTCTCTTAAACCTTTATACTTCGTATTTAAATTGTAGAAATCCCTATTAACCTTGGCAAAATTTGCCCAAAGCAAAAAGGAGCTTATAAAGCAAAGTTGAAATACAATAATCGCGTCAAAATTAGTACCATATTTGACACTTCATTATGAAAAGAGATGGAAAATGGATTAATGTATACACTATAAATTGACACATAAATTGGCTACTGATTGTTATTAGTGAAAGTAAAAAAGTAGGCCAATAGCAAAGAATAAAGCAACTATACCAAACTAATTTTCCAGTTATTTGATCTTTTTACATGTTATGCTCAAGTAACAAGGAGAGATCAACATTGCAGACTAGAGGTTGGAGTCGGACAGCAATAGCAGTTGCAATAGCTATCAGTTGAAAAATATCACCCAATAGCAAATCCAGATCCATGTCCTTCATGTATTCGGATCCATATGCTTCATGAATTTTTAAGTGAATGTTATACCATCCTTAATTCCTTACTCTGCGTTCAGTCATCGCTCTATTTATTAGCAAATAAATTCTTCCCCTCAGACTTAGCAACATACACGCAACATCTTATATGAGACAGATGAGACTTTTCAGACTTTCTTTTGAACCAAAAAATTCAGCAAATGACATCCATGTTTTTCATGTCTTATTGGCTTTGATTTATGCAAACATATGCTGATATGCTGAAGATGCTCAATCATTTCTTATTTCAGGCTCAGTCTCTAACAAAGAGACACCAGCTGCATAGATTCAGGCCAGACAGCAACAATAGTGCCGCAGGATCAACTGCTCTGACCTTAAACGGCAAACCAGAAATTGGAACTCTTCATTGATATCCACGAATGCAGCACCAATCTCATTGTATATTACTCAAGTTATCTGCATAATGCTCTCTTTCTCTGGCCAAAAACCATACATTCCAAGGCCTTATGGAAGTATCAGAACCTAATTACCTTTGGCTTAGACCCAGGAGATCATAATGTGATCATGAAACAAATCAAGGCTTCTACGTCAAACCAGTAGTTTCATGAATGATTTCACATTCTTCAAATCTTGCTTCAATTCTGGGCATTTTGGAGGCTTGAATTGTTGCCACAGTCCAACAGGATGCCGGCTCTTCTGTTCAACATATTCAGAAAACCTGCCATACATCTTTTCACATTCAGGATATGGCTTTACATAAAGGTTGTAGAACCTAACCCTAGTAGGCTTTATAATATCCCTCAATCCTAACTCAAAACCAAGCCCACCTATTGATCTCAAATACTCAATCACATTGTGCCGAGGAACAATCTGTTTATCGAAATTCACCCCCAAATACTCGGGGACCTCCATCAAACATTCAACATCAAATTTCATCCTATCCAAAAGAAACTCAATTTTACTTTCAATGTCCTCAATGTCATATATTATTGACCTTGGCTCTCTTTTTAATATGTTCAGAGCATCTCTTCGGATCAACCCATATCTACACAAGCAATCAATTCTCATTTTTACAGCAAATCCGGCTTTGATCTCCCCCTCACTGAATATCTTCTCTTTAATAGATTCTCTACACCTCAACTTCCGAAGCAACTCCAAACACCGCCGCAACTCCCCAAGCTCCAAACTTAGAATTCTTGGTTCTTTAATGATCTCTTCTTTAACACAACGCCTTCCAAACCCCATGTCCAAGAACTCATTCATTAGTGGTTTCAACCTATTCTCTATCCGAAACCCTAAAACTCCTGGAAAAGAATGATAAATCCTATCAATGTCACTTTTTTCAAAACCAATCATAATCCAAAAGTCTATCCTCTTCCAAAGTTCACCCTCATTAATCATAACAACCTCAGGAAAACCCTCTAAAACCCTAATTATGGTACCATCACTAAACCCTAAACCCTTCAAAATCTGCACACAACTAGAAAACCTATCTGGGTCAATCCGAAACCGCCTCGAAATCTCGAGAATGCTTCGAATTACCCTAGGAGAAGTAGCAAATTGCCCCAATGATTCAATACCCATTTCCCATTTCTTCAAAAACCCCAAATCAAGAACGCTAGGGCACCCATTAACTAATGAAACAATCAAATTTTGCTGCAATTTGAATGACAATAATAAAATTCCAAGAGATTGCTCAATTTCTGATACATTAGAAGTCAATAAAAATTTGTTCTTGGTAAGAAAAGAGTGAAGATCAGAAGAGGGGAAACCATACCTCTGCAAAAGATTGGCAAGTGAAATCTGTTTTCTGTACTGGGTTTGTGGGAGGGAGTTTGAAAGATTGAAACTTTTTTGTGAATTTGGAATGTTGGAAAAGGGTACAAATTTGGGAAATTTTGGGATGGAAATTTGAGGTAGAAAGAGGGAATTCAACTTTCGCAAATGGTTCCTCATTAGAGCAGCAGAAGCCTTTGAATTGCTAGTGGAAGTTTAAAACTTTTTTTTTTTTTATTAAGTGGAAGTTTAAAACTTTAATTAAACACAAAACATGTAAAAATCGAATTTTTAGCAAGTACTAGTGTACTACTGTACTAGTGCATGAAAAAACGAAATCTTGAGTACTTCTTTTGTTCCCCTAACTTAATATTGCAACAAGTACTACACTACACATTGTTTAAGTATGTTTCACAGATCTTAGGCTTAGCCCTGTTCTTTTTAGCTTAGCACAAAGCAAGACAGAGCAAAGTATGACAGAACATGGCTAGACTTTCACACATTGCAGAGCAGGGTAGGACAGAGCAGAGCAGCTCTAAAGAACAGGGCCTAGATGACGAAGATTAAACTATACTCTCTTTTATCTTTGTGTGAGTTTTAATTTATGAATTTAAACCTTATAAAATTGAACCAAAAATTAAATAGGAAAAATTGCGGAAAATAATACAACTTTTGGCCGGTTCTTTTTTAATAATACAACCTTTCGATTATTTTTTAATATTACAATCTTTGGGGTGTTGAATTTTAACAGGCAAAAACCGGTTGGTAACCTGTTTTTACAGGTTACCATGACACGTGTCGTTGTTTTATTGACTTTGTCAATTTGTTTTAATTTTAAATAATTAATAATAAAATTACTTTTATTATTATTAAAAAAACCCCACCACCCCTGCCACCACCTCACCATTCCTCCCCCCCCCCCCCCGTCTTCACACAGCTCCCCTTTCCCCAGCCAAGAAACCGAACGGCCGGCGTCTAGCTCACACACCGCCGGCAACCCACTCCATGTTACCTCCACCTCCCTTACCCGTCGCGCCCTCGAAAACCAACACCACCGCAGCCCCGATTCCACCACGAACTGACCATCGCAGCCAGAAACCACCCCATCCCCTGTTTTCCGGCCACGATAAACCCTATTCCCTCACCTAAAACTATTAAAAATCCATTAAATCAAGAAAACCCGAAACCCCAAAACCCTAGGAAAAGGGTTTTCTAGGTTAAACCCAAAACCAAAAGAGGGATTGTGGTGGTGGCGTTAAGTGATGCCTGGTGGTGCGTGTGGGAGCAGCGAAGGGAGTTGGATGTGTGGTGATGATTGTGGCTGTTGTGGTGGTGCGTTTGGGAGCAGCAAAGGGTGATGCGGGGTGGTCGATGCTGCTGTTGTTGATTGGGCGCACGGTGATGGCAGGGGAGTGAAGAAAACAGGGGAGGTGGAGAGGTGGTGGTGGAGAAAACAGGGGAGGGGCAAGGGTGGTGGTGGCTGGAGGGTTGATTTTTTATAATTAAAATTATTTTATTAAAACTTAAAAGTTAATTAAACAATTTTAATTAAAAATTTGTTTTTTTTTTTAATTTTAAATCAATTACATGACAACACGTGTCATGGTAACTTATTCAACCGGTTACGAGTTATTTTGCCTGTTAAAATTCAACACCCCCAAAGGTTGTAATATTAAGAAATAATCGAAAGGTTATTGTAGGGAATAGTTTCAAGCCTTAAAAATCCCACTAGCTTGAACCCCACTGTGATCATACACTAAAGTACGGTGGCGTCCAAAAGGGAAGAAGATAGAGCAAAAGAGTCGCCAACAAGTTTTTAAGGAACTTGTAAACCGTTCATAGGATGAAGGTTACACCCCTTAACGATCCAAGAGATCGTCAACTCCATAAGGTCATGAACCAAATAAGGGTTCGGGGATGATGGTACAAATCCAACCTAAAAGAGATTGAACTTGCCCTAATAATAGGCCTCTACTTTATTCTGCTTGTATTCATGTGCGCTTTCTGATTAACATACAATCAATAGGATTAACCCTAAACCTGTTTAATCTATGTTGGTTGAATTTAATGCACAAATAAACTATTATTGGCGATCACTTGAATTTATAATCACAATTAACCTAACAAGATTATTAATTATCTTATTAAGCATGATGCAAATACAAATTCCCTTTAAACATGCAATAAAAAGGTGATCAAGCAATAACAATATAAAATAATATGCATATCAAGCAACATAATAAATAATCAATAATTAATCATAATCATAATAATCATAATATTCATCATAATCATATTAAAGCATAGCAAGATCCTAGGCATGATACTAACAAGATTAATAACAAACCCTAGCATGTCACTAAGCAATAAAAATCAAATCTTTAACCCTAACATGATACTAACATGAATAAATATTAGGAAGAATATAGGAAGCATCGTACTTTTAATCATACTTGATATTAAAGTTACCCTAGACATGATACTAGGAATATCATAATAACAATCTAAACATGATGTCTACATCATAAATCAATTAATCAATAAAATCCCTTAAAGTACATACTTGGATGCCTCGTACCTCTTTCTAATAACAAAATACACACGTTAGCAACTTCAAGGAAAATAATAATCAAAACAATTAAATTAAATAATTGAAAGAGAGATTTGGGACCAAACCCTCAAAAATTAAAACATTTCACGTCTAGGGCGAAGACAACTTCGAATATGGCTAGGTGTTTCTAGATCTTGTGAATGCGGAATTTTGTGTGGAAAAGTAAAGTTTAGAACAGAATGCTAAAAGATTAATGTTATTGAAAATTGATGAATGAATGATGAATGAAGAGAGTTGATGAATAATATTGTGAATGAAGAGAGTTGATTATTGGTAATTCATAAAGTGATTGTTGATGAATGAAACCGGAGTTTTTGATACGATATTTATAGGGAAAATCATCCAAAAAAGATAATTTATCAAAACAGAGTCTGAAGATCACAAAACTAACTTGGCGCCAGCCCTGGCTCATTGGCGCCAGGACTAGTGGCTAGCGCCAGGCGCCAATGGCTGGCGTCTGGCGCCAATCCTGATTCCAGGCGCCAAGGCCTGGGGTTGGACGCCAACTTGGATTTCAACGCGTTTTCGAAAATCTGATAAATTTCCCGTACTGGAAGATAAAATAATATAATTTCAGTCGAAAATGCTATTTGATTTTAATTAAAACTCTGAAAAATCCTAATTGAATTAAGAATGATAAAACCTTCTAGAATGTTCTAGAAGACTAAAACCTTTCCTAATTACATTAGGAATGATAAATCATATTAGGCCCTCCCCTAGATAATTGGGTCGTACTTAAAGCTCAAACCAGGCCCAGTTTAGTAAATTGGCCATAAATTCCTCAATATTCATCGGAATTGGGCTTATAATATATCGTTGGAAAGGTCTTTGCAAACCCCATCCAACTACACCACTATTGGACCCATATCATGGACCAACCAAACTGGATTGGCTGTTTTCTTTAAATAAAGTTTTCAAAAACAGAGAGAAGAGAATTAAAACTTCCCGCAACACTAGACCTTTCCACACTTTCGTTTCATTCGATTATGATTCGACGTGAAAGGTACTCATCACTGGGTTTGGTTTTGGGGAGACACAAATGGGTGTCTACAGTTGTATTATTAAAAAAGAATCGCCTAAAGGTTGTATTATTTTCCGCAATTTTTCCAATTAAATAATCATAAAGTTAGAGCTTAACTTAAATTGAAAAATAATCCCAAAGAACATATTTAAGTAGGTAAATCCAGCTAAGCCTAAATTTTCCATGTTTATGCTCATTGAATTTAGGCTAGCTAAGCTTTCAATCAAACTCAAAGTTTGTCCAAACTCAATCAGTTAAGAAATCCTATATTTAGAATGTTTGTAAATGACTCAATTTTTTTGCTAACTTCTTCTCTTTTTTTTTTTTTTTTTTACCATGTTGAGCTAAATTATATTTTGTCTTTCATTTGCATAAACAAAAAATCAAAATTAAACTCAATCATCTATAAATATCTCTTGATAATCAAATACTTGTATTGACAAATGAAAACATGATTAAAATAGACATCTAAAAATACATTAACTATAGACTATAAGTAGATTATTGACGAGCATTTCAGTTTAATTTCATAATAATTACACCCCTACCAGGGCTACCTGCCTACCTTCAATCGGAAAGGAATCATAAATTTTCATGTGGCTCAAACTGTTTTCGTAAATCCATAATAGCATCACGTACTTAACATGTAAACAGGACATAATCACATAATACTTCGTATTACATATTTACACGTTACTAGTTCACTTCAAAAATAATTGAACTGCAAAATTGCAACACAACATCTTCTGTATAATTAAAAATGAGGAAGCAACTACTTTCTCTCAAATTCATCTCTGAAAAACTCCATAAATCATTGTCAACTCCCACCAATTTTCACTCCTCTAAGCCTTTTCATTCTCTCTCCAATCCCATCAACAACAATGGCTGCCACCTTAATTCCCATCCTTCTTCTCTTCTCTCTCCTTACCATCAATGGCGGTCATCCGCCATTAATGGCTTCCTCAAAAGCCCTGTTCTTTCCAAACATTTCGTTTCTCGTGCTCAGATAAAGGGTCCAATCAAAAGCTTTCTGGGTTCCAGAGTTGGGTTTCTTACTACCCAATTTTCCAAGATTAAAGGGCCAATTCAGCAGCGTGGATGGTAATTTATGTATGCTCTACTCTTTTTTAGTCTTTCATTTACAAAGTTGGTGTTTTTGAATGCTGTTTATCATATGGGAATCACATTTTGCTTATCAATTTTGATGGGTTGGAGTAGAATTTCTCAATGATCGTGTGGATTTTTAGGGTTCTAAGGTTAGGGTTTTTGTGGGGTTTTTTTTGTGACAATTGAATTTCAGTTTTTGGTGTTTTGATTGTGTGACATTTTGCTAGGTTGGCTATTTTGATTATTGTTCTGACTTCTGAGTTTACGAATGGGTTTCTTATTTCCAGAAATGTGTTTGGATAGTTGGATTTCTTTTGATGTATGTTTTAGTTATACTTTATTGTTTCATCCTGAGAAATTTTGAATTTGAAGGTGTAAATGCTTCAATATAGGTCTAGACTACTAGTCTAGTGATGCAATCTATAAAGATATTAATGTGGATTGTGACACATTAAATATTTCTTCCAACCTGAAGCCATGGCAAAATTCAGGAATCTATGATAAGACATGTATGATAGTATACAAATGTTAATTCACAACAAAGTCCATCATGATTACATATTCAACCAATAGGTCCTATACAATACATAAGCACAACTAAGCATTATAATGCCATATGTGTGGCATACTAATGTTTAGAGGGAGGTACGGGAATTCAGCTCCTGCTGTACCCTTCTAATTCTAATTCCATCTTACATCAAGTACTATCCAATTTTCCATTGTTGTGCATTTTTCTTTTTGATTTTGCAATTTGTGTTTGTTCCTATCTATTGTGAATAGGAGACAAAGTTCAAGAGTATTCTTGCTTTCATCCTGACTTGGTTCTTCCTTGCTTCTCTTGTCTTTGTGTGTAGGAGTTCTTGGTCCCGAGGGTATTCAGGTTATTCGGCTGATAGTGTAGTTTACGGCTTAATTTTTGCCAATGCGGCTGTTTTTCTGCTGTGGCGGGTTTTACCTCGAGATTTCATGTATCGAAACTTTACAGTAAGTCTTTGTAAATGTTTGTTTGTATATGTATAAATTGACCGCACTTGTGTATTGAATTTGAATGCTGTTACTATCTATTGTTAGCTAGCAATTTCTGCTCCATGCATCTTGTTGCAACTTTTATAATTTCCGTATTATTATGCTGATATGCCCTTATAAGTGAATTTTAGCAGTTATGTTTCTCACTGTACTTTTTGTGCTTTTGTACCCCTGCCTTGGCATGCAGATTTCAGTGGAAAACATAAAAAGTGGACGTATACACACACTTCTTACTTCCGCATTCAGCCATATAAACATTGAACATATTGGATCCAACATGCTTGGTCTCTACTTCTTTGGCAGTAGTGTAAGAGTGGCTGCTCAATCTAGTTAATTTCATTGCTTTTTATTTAAAGTTCTGAAGTTGATTTCACTATATGTTGTTGTTTTGCTCTCACTGTACTACAGCTCTTTTCATTTAACATCTCACATTGTTATCTTTATATTGATTCAAACCTGCCAACAATTTGCGAGGAAAACTTGGTTGCTTTGGACATATTACACTGTGTTATTAGGAAATGATTTAGATTGCAAAATAGAACTGTTTCAAACTTGCTCAACTACAAATACTTCTTTCTCAAGGTTAAGATGTTTACTACACATAGGCCTTAATCTCCTAATCATTTTATGTAGTGCAAACTAATTTTGTAGTATTTGTCAGCTGTGGTAGACTCTTAGTAGCTATTAGCAGTGAGAAGAAAACCTTTGAACTTGTTTGAAGAATTATTATGTTCTGTTCCAAAACACTACCTGTCTGCTGCTATTTATTAACCTTGAACTTTTACTTTATTGAACACAATTTTTTTAACCCCTTGGTGTGATTTGAAGTGTACAGAATTCTAAAAATACTAGCAAATAGCTGCTGTCTGATAGATCTTTGATGTCAAAGTTCTTGTTGCCTGCTTTTAATTTTGCATGGTCAGGTTCTTGCGGAAGATTTATATGAAATTCATCAAAAAGCTAAATTATAGTTGGAAACTTTATGCTGAATTGATGAGCCAAAAGCTGTAGTATGTAAGGGCTGTAACTAGGTGGTACTTATAAGACGTTAGTCATTGAGTGCTCTGGACTTGATTTTATCTTGCATTGAGAAAACTTTTAAAAAAACAGGATCGTTGGCCTGCTATGATTTTTATTAATTCTAGTTTTATTTTATTAATTTTTGTGTTTATATATTGGTTTTTCAAGTCTCGTCATCCTGTTTCTTGCTCTGTTAGTTGTATGGTATTGGGACATATACGTATATATTTATTAGTTGTATGAGGTCTATTTCACCTATTAGAGTATTGGCTCTTTCAACCTTGTTTTTTACTTGGTAAGATCATTGTTCTTGCAGATTGGAAGTGTGTTTGGACCAGAGTATCTGCTGAAGCTGTATGTCGCTGGGGCTGTTGTTGGATCTATATTTTATTTGGTGCACCATGCTTATCTCGCTAATACATATGAGGTATAAGGGATCAAGGTTGACTTGTGTGGTGTGTGCATCATTGACTACTCTTTTTTGAACATTGTGTGGAATATCACTATGAAAAATTGAAGACAAATATATCTTTTCTTCTGCCTTTTAGTATGGTTGTTGATTTCATTATTATTATTTTATTTTTATTTATTTATTATTTTTTTTTTCCCTTCAATGCTAATGTTTTATCTTTTGATTTCTAGTTTGATCGGTTGCAAGTTCATTGTTTGACGGACTTTGACCTATAGAGTACGTGCATCACTTTTCCTTAACATGTTACTTTTTGTTTGGACAGGGAACTTTCAGAAGAAATCCATCAAGAACTCCTGGGCTGGTAAGTTTTTGGTTAGGCTCTTCATAGGGTAGTTTCCATTCTTTTATAGTTTCACAACAATCAGCTGTTTATATACTGTAGATATTTGCGACTAAATGGGGGATTGTTGTATTAATAGTTTTCAATGGAGAAATTTGTTATGTAAAAATGTTTGTTTCACATTGGAAGAAGAATAGTAGTTTATCTAATCTATACATTTATAACTCATTATGTGCAAATGATTATTTATTTGAATTGAACCTTTTATATGAGCTTGAGTGTGCTTGCATTTGATATAAAAAATGTGTTTGTATGCTTCTAATCAAAGAGTCAAAGACTAACGCTTAGCACTTTGCATGAGACACGATCTCAAAAAAATTAAGCAAACTAGTTAATGTTTTATTGATAACTGCTATCTTTTCTTTTAAATTCAAATGGGCAGATTATGTTATAAATATCAATCTATGTTATTCTCTTCTCTGTAAAAATTACAATTTACAAATATTGTGTCGATAGAGATGATTAGGATCTTGGGGGTGAATTAGTTCCTTAATCTCATTTATAGTAGGGGCTAATATTTTCCTAAGGACAGAGTTAAGCTCATCTTATTCTATCTTCGCTTATTTTTGTATTAAGTTGATCAATAATTTCTAACAATCAATATCCTTGTCTGCCTTTTAGTCGTGGAGATCATTTTAATGTTAGGTGGAAAGACCTACAGATTGTAGGGAAAAGATTGAAGTTCATATTAAAAAAAAAAAAAATCCCTTTTCTTCTTTATTTTATTATAGTTTCTATGTATTACTTTAAAGTTTAAACAGTGAGAAAGTGGTGAGATGGTTATGCAAAATTTTAACTGCAGGGCTCAGGAACAAGTAAATTGACTGCCTAAGTCTATATTCCTCAAACAAGCTTCTGCAGTTAACAATACTAGTGTCCATAGTTCATGCTCTAGGCTTATTAGTATCGTCCACTTTGTTCATTCCTTATAAAGAGGAGGGGTGATTTCAGCATAAATCTATTACAGTGAGTAGTGAGTGGAGGGAGAATTGGTGGGCTCTGAGATCTTGTACATGATTTCAAAATGAATTAGGTCCACTAAATTCATGTTTTTTCACTGAAATATGAAACTTCTTGTTTTTATTTCAATGCTTACTATGTACGTAGTATTAAGTTTTTTCCCTGTATATTCGCTTTGGGACTAAGGCTTTGTTGCTGTTGTTTTCATACATCTTTTGACTTAATTTGTCTCTGGGGAGACTTGGTTCTATTCAGAATGTCATTCAATATTTAGGAAATTTTGTTAATGTTCTCACTATATTTACTTCTAGGGTGCAAGTGGGGCAGTCAATGCCATATTGCTTCTTGATATATTCCTCTTTCCAAAAAAGACGCTCTTGTTTGACTTCTTCATTCCTGTCCCTGCCATATTGCTGGTAACTCCTCTAACTTTTGTAATAAGCTTACTGTTAAATGTTTAAATATATATGTGCAGTTTTTAATCAATTCAATTGATATCAGGGAGTCTTTCTTGTTGGAAAGGATGTGTTGAGGATTTTAGAGGTAAGCAGACTATTAATTCTGCTTGTTCTTTGTTCCTATTAGCAACAACTTCCTTTATGAAAAGATTAAAAAACAAAAAAAAAGTAATGACAATGCTATCCAACTTTGAAAATCGGAATCATACTGACGAGCTATTGTATAGTTGCATGTCTGAACTTATGATGTTGGTAGATATGCTGCAACTAACCACATTATATTGTCTGCAGGGGGATCAAAACATATCTGGATCAGCTCACCTGGGTGGTGCTGTAGTTGCGGCTGTGGCATGGCTACGTGTTACGCGAAAACTCCGTTTCTAACCACTGTGATTCTTGATTTTAATTGGGGTTGCTCAAGCTATTTGATTTGCTGTCGTGCTGGAATCATGCATGACTTTATGTTTCACGGGGTAGGTTAGTGATCTGATTGTGGTAAAAATAAAAACAAAGCTTTCTGAAACTTTGGTTCTAGTTGTTTTAATGTAGGGCTTAAACTATTTGACTAGTGTAAATCACATTCTAGTTGTGATTGATTGTCATCTAATATTCAGATAATATGAAATTGCTCTGATCATAAATGGAAGTTCTCTGATACTGTGGCTACACTTTTGGTTGTCAATCTAAATGTATATGCGACTATTTTTCAGGGGAGGGGGCTGGGATCAGGACGGGAAAGGGGTTTTGCAAGGTAGGGGGATGCCGCGTGAGGGAGGGAGGGATGGGGTTGGTGGTTTAGGGGAGGGGAGGGGTTGGTCGCGACGTTGACGCCGGCGTTGTGGTTGGGGCTAGGTGGCCAGAGCCGCGGGTTAGGGGATCAGGCTCAGAAGGGATGACAATGGGACGGGTCGGATGCGGAGGATGGTGCCTCCACACCTATACCCGCCTAATAATCTTACACCCATCCCCGCCTAAAAATCTTACACCCATCCCCGCCCAACCACCCATGGTTGGTACAATATCCATATCCGCCTTGCCGAGTACAAGCTAATATTCATCCCCGCCCCACCACCCATTTGGATATCCAGGCGCATCTCAGACCTGCCTCATACCGCTACCATAATGACAGTATTGTATGACAATAATATGAAGAATTATCATTTCTAATAAACCTCTTTTTTATCCACTTGGTGAAATTCATACGATACTAATGTCATTAATATTATATTTTGTGTTTATTATATTATTATAATCTAGTTTCTAAGCTCTTCCAAGCTTGTTTCAACCTTTACAAAAGTAGTATAAGGCGGGTGATGGGGCGAGGCGGGGATAGGGCGGTTTTACTCTAAAATCCATACCCATCCCACAACCCATAGCGGATACATTTTTATACCCTTCCTCGCCTCATCACCTGCCAAACCTCTCTCTATCCCCGTACCACTAAGGCGAGGGTGGGGCGGTTTTCCCATTTGAATCGACCCACTGCCATCCCTAAGGCTCAGGCAGTTGGTGAGTGGTGAGTGGTGAGTGTTTTTTTTTTTTTTTTCCTTTAGAAATCTAATTTTTTTTAAATATTTTATTTTATTTATTTATTTTTACCAATCACAGGCCGTCACATGTAGCAAGTTACATGACCGGTTGAGACCATTTTAAGCGGATTGGGTATAAAGGTCGGATTATTTAAAAATAACCCCAAATGTGGGATTATTTAAAAATAACCCCAAATGTGGGATTATTTTGGGCGGACTCTCCAAAGAGGGATTATTCTAGGCAATTTTTCCTTTTTAAAAAGAATGTTGTAAATATTCACCAAATTTATTTTTATTTATTTATTTTATTTTTTTGTAATTTGCTATGAACAAATGACGATTTAATTAGTACTTCCTCCGTTTTATTTTAGATGCTACACACCCTTTTGCGCGGTAATTAAGAAAGGTGGGGTTTACATTATATAATAAACTTTAAAATAGAATGAGTGGTTGTTAGAAGTGTAATTTAATGGGTCATGTGCTTTACATAATAAATAGGGAAATAGTATAGTTTTTCCTAAAATAACTTTCCTTTTACAGCGTGTTGCAAGTATTGTGACATTTCCTTTTAGGGAAGTGTTACAAGTAAAAGAAAACGGAGGAAGTATTAGTTAAGGGTCATTTTCCTGAAAAATATGAATGTCTTTTCCTTTTCTCTCTCCTCTTTTATCCTGTAGGGTTTTATTATTACATAATATTTTTTTTATTTATCCAACCATGATAGTTTTGATAGTTTTGATGAAGGAAATCTTTATTTAACTAAAGTACTTTTCATTAATGAAATGGTTTGGTTCAATAGAAAAAATAATAATAATAAAAAATAAAAAATTGTCATTTAAAGTACTTACACGATCATGAATTATAAAACTAGATTTCATAAGTTTGGTCCTTTGCCAAATATTATTGATATTTATTTTAATTTACATTGTCAAAAAAAAAAACATATTGTAAAATAATTAAAGTAATTATATTGTCATTTACAATACTTATATCATTTAAAACAAATTTTAATAAGTTTTTTTTCTTCAAAATTAAATTTGTCATTGACAACAGTTATACTGCCATTTTTAATCATACTAGAGTGTACCCGTGCAAATTGCACAGGATATATATTTTACCTAAAGATAATAATAAAAAAAAAATCTATTAACAACAATTGTATTTCAAAAAAAAGGAAGTTGATTTTAATATAGTAACTAAATATTATGCTACGTTTGTGGCTAGCCGCACCGTGTACCTAGCTATTATGGGAGTTACTTTGTCAGTGTTATAGTGGTTACCTATATAACCAATATTGCATTATAAAGGTTACTGTGTCTATAAAGGTTACTCGTCATTGTTATAGTGTTATAAGGTTTACTTTATCATTCTACAATAGGACATAGAAAATCAGAAAAAGATCAATAAGAGGATAACTATTCATGACGGTAGTTAAAAATATTATCAATCATTCGCCTTACAACAATTTAATAAATGTATAATATCAATTAAACCATAATACATTTAATTTACATTTAGATTATTAATTATGGACTTACATTAAAGAAATGCTGATCAAAGCATAAATATCTTTTTTGTAAAATATATATCCCGTGTATGTTACACATGTATACTATAGTGCTTGAAAAATCAAAGCTTGATTATATACATAATGCTAATCAATAAAAGCAATATAATAGAGATAGATGAACATAAAAAAAATTGGAGGTAGATGTATACAGTACATCAAACCATTAACATTAGTAGCATAAATTATACTTCATATTACTAAAGTTTCCTCTGTATTTTCCTTTGATGCGGGTGATTAAGAAAACTTCTATGAGTATATAGTATTGGGGTAACCTAATCTAGAAAAAGAACCCTGTGCTCCTTTGACCCCGAGTCGAGGAGCCCGATTTCAGTTGTCACACGGGCGACTTTGGTACATGAATAATAGCCTGTTCAAACGCAATCTTCTCAGACCTAGTGACAGTGGCTACATATGGTTTGGGGGAAAGGAACACATAATGTCATATGTATCATAACATAGTTATGGCACCTAAACAAATGTGCATGATAACACCGTAAGAACTAACATCAGAATATCCTTCTAAATTAGATACAGTTAAATAATAAAGAGCAAAATTAAATTCTTAAGTCTATTATTAACTAAGTACTCCCAATCTTTATATTAATCGTAAGGCAATCACAATTGTAGATTCATATTGGGATTTTTATAGTTGAAAACACATCTAAGGGCCTGTTCTCTTCCGTTGAAATTCAGTTCAGTTCAGTTCAGCTCTTAATTTACGTCTAATGATATTGCTAATGATATAAAGCCAAATTTCATTCTTTTAAGCTCTTATTACAACGACGACAACAACAACAACAACAACAACAAGAATAATAATAATAATAATAATAATAATAATAATAATAACAATAATAATTGAAATAATAATACTAATGATAATAATAATCAATAAATAATAATAATCATCAATTAATAATAATAGTAATAATAACAATAATAATAATAATAATAATCAATAAATAATAATAATAATCAATAATTAATAATAATAATCAATAATTAATAATAATAATAATATTATAAATAATAATAATAATATTAATAATAATAATAATAATAATATTATTATTATTATTAGTATGCACATTTGTATATACACATATGTATAGTAATAAATAATCAATAAATAATCAAAGATCACTAATCCGTAGCTAAAAATCACTAATTAATAAGTTCAGTTTAGCTGAGTTCAGTCAATCGGAACATGCCCTAATTCATAATTCAAAACTTTCAATAACAAAAGTGCAGAATTACTAATACCCACACAAACAAACAAAAATACAATAATTCAAATTACTATCACTCCCAAAATTGCTAATTGTAAAGCAACATGATTTTTATAGAACATATGCATAAAATACACAAAATAAAAGGGGGAAATCAACAAAAATTTAAGCAAAAAAAAAAAAAAAAATCGAACGAAGATAGGAAAGAGATAACCTGTACAAACTTCAGCATCTCCCTGCTATACTAATCCTATATATGAAGTACTTGCAAAAAAGTAAAAAAATTGAGTAAGCTAGTAAATGAATTCACGAAATTAAATTTTAAAAAAGTAACATAAAAAATGAAACTATTAGCAAAAGTATTTTACTGCAAAGGGGGAAATCGTGAGAAATTATATATAAACATAAGAAACAGAAATTGAAAGCCATAGAAGAGGTGAAAAGAAGAGAGAAAAGAGGAAACTAATCATCATGTATTTTAGTTGTATCAAAGTATATACGAAGTAAATCCCAAAATTAAAAATAAGGAAATGAAGTAGATTTGCAGTTTCATAATTTCACAGTAACTGCTAGAGTAGTTTGCTGCACATGTACACGAATTTATTTAGGCATTTTTTAAAAAAAAAAAAAAAAAAAAAAAAAATTGAATTAGGTTGTAGTTGGAGGGATTTCAGGTTTAGGCGGGAATGCATGAGAATCAAGAATGGGGGTTTTGGAGGCTCCTCGTTAGCTGACTCTGCAATTATATAATAGATTATTTATTATTTAAGTTTTTTTTTTTAAGAATATTATTAAAGTACTTATACTGTCCCTCAAAAAAAAAAAGTACTTATACTATTATTTAAATACTTATACGATCATGAATTATATAATTAGATTTCATAAGTTTGGTGTTGGGCCCTTGGCACCTTGTGACTCCAACAAGATATTATTGATATTTATTTGGAAAAATGAAAACTAAAAATCCAATCTTTGTCCGATCTTCTCTTAACAATCCAACATTCCAACAAATCTCATAAAAATGGAAACTAAAAATCCAATCTTTGTCCGGTCTTCTCTAAAAATCCAACATTCCATTAATCTCATAAAAATCCAACCTTTATACTCCACATTTTCCAACAGATCCATTTGACATTTAACCGGTTAAACAAGTTAAATTTTTTTTTTTTTAAATTCTCTCACTTTCCCTTCTCACTCCTCTTTCTCTCTCCTCAAAAACTGAAACAGAGTATGCAGCACCACCTCCGCCGCCGCCACCTTTGCCACAACTTACCCCTCCCTCACTCTCATTCTCCCTCTCAAGCTTCCCAATTCTTGCAACCAAATCAGACCCTTGCCCT